TCGTTTCGTGCGAAAGGGTTGCCGCCGAGGTTGTAGAATCGTAATTTTATATAATTTTTTGGCGATCCAAGCCGCCGAGGTTATAAATCATAATTTTACAATCGAAGCTCGTTTCGTGCGAAAGGGTTGCCGCCGAGGTTGTAGGATCGCAATTTTACATCCAATTTTGGTGATCGAACCTCGTTTCGTGCGAAAGGATTGCGTTTCGTGCCGTCTCGTTGGCACTGCCCCGCGCCTTAAGAGAGACATAGAAAAGACGGAAAAAGAAGAGGACAAGAGAGCAAGAGATTTGAGCACCAGCCGAGCACAATTTGAGCCCCAGCCGAACACAATTTGAATACCAGCCGAGCAGAATTTAAATATCAATTAAACAAAAAAATTGAAAAAAAATGAAAGCCAAACAAATAATTGGCTTTAATTACATAACCCCAGCCCCAATGTCAGGTCCAGCCCCAGCCCCACCGCCCCAGCCCTGACCACCCCACCCCCCAGCCCTGCGGGTTTAGTGGTGGTTGTCGTGGTGGTAGTGGTGGTAGTGGTGGTGGTAGTGGTGGTTGGTGGTGGTGCTGCTGCTGCTGCCGCTGCTGGTGGTGGTATGTGCTGGTGGTCGTAGTGGTGCTGTCGCTGATGGTGGGGTGGTTGTTGTTATTGTTGCTAGTCGTCATTACTAAGATTATAATAGTGGCTAAAAATTACTGAGATTTTCAACGAAACCTTGGTATTGATTAAGTAGCAAAATTATAATAATCAGAATCGAAAAAAAAAATTATATAAATTTATTTTTTTCGATTCATATAATATATTTTTTCTATTCTTTTAATAAATTAAATATTAATGGTATTTGTCTAATTAATTTTTTAATTTAATATAAGAATTTATCCGTATTATATTTTCAGATTAGACCGTTATTTTCTGCCTTTGGCTAGTTCTTATTGTATGATCCTGGAATATATTTATTATTATTATCCCGAGGATAAATTAAATTTATATTTATACTGATTTTATTCAAATAATTATCTTCAGGTAATATAATTTAATTATTTAATAAAAAATAATTATTTTGTAATAATTTCCATTTTTATATAAAATTTTGATATAAATTCTAATATATTATCTGGAATTATTTATAATATATAAATTTCAATTAATAATCCAATAATATCCATTAAAATCTGCAGCAATTAAAATTCCAGGCTAGCGGAGGAGAAGTAAAAGGAGAAAATAATTGTAATAAAATCTAAATTCCTTTATTTAATAATAGGAAACATAAATTTATTCAATACAAAGAAAATTAATAATATAATTTATCGTTTAATTTTATCCATTATTTATAAATATTAAATTTATTTTAGGTTTCAATTAATATAATATATATATATATTTTTTTTCTATATCATATAAGTAATTTTAATTTATAATTCTATAATTTAAATTACAAATTTTTAAATAAATATTATCGAAATAATTTTATTATAAATTAT